CTCCTAACTCTGCCTTTCCAGGTCCTCAGGGTTCCCTGACTCCTCCCCGCTGGCTGCTGTGACCCCCTGTTCATCTGCCCAGCCCCCTCATTCAGAACCACCCAGACCAGCCTGAGGCCTCACTTTCCACCCAGCCTTCCAGACCCACCCCTGGTATGTGGTTTCTGCAGACAACCTCAGTGCTGGGGTGGTGTGGCGGGGCGGGGGGAACCAAGAGCCCCCAACCCTTACCTCTTACACATGAGGAAACCATGGCCCACAAAGGCTGAGTGATGGGTCCGGGGCCACCATTTGGTAATAGCAGAGCCGGACTGGTTTCCAGGAAGTCAAGAAATGTTTGTTCCACCAACCTCACACAGAAAGTCAAATTAAAGTAATAGGGATGGTAGGTGGGGGTGTGTGCAGAACAAGGTTCATCCGTTTACAGATAAGGAAACTGAGGCCCAGGGAGGAGGTAAGAGGGGCCTTTCCAAGGCCCCAATTCACACTGTTTGTTAGTGCGAGCTCTTAGATACAAATTAACTGGACCAGAGCCCCCTAATCCTGCCGCTGACAGCTGATGTCCAGACGGTGGGATTTTGTAACCTCAATTAGTCACCTATTAACAGGCAGCTCTGAAACCCTCCTGCCATAAACCCCCTGCCTGCAGGGGTGGGGGCCTCTCTGCTCCCCAGAGAGCTGCTCCTCGCGGGGTCCGCCTCCCAGTCAGAAAAGAGCCGAAGAATCTAGAAAGGAATCGGGCTGGCTGACACTTTCATTTCTTAAAAAATTTAATGAATAAAGTTCTAATTGTTTTATTTTTAGAAAGTGCTAAATTATCTGAGTGACAACTCCCTGGCTGCCTGGAGAACTCCTGCTCCTCCTTCGGGTGTGGGCGCCTGGGCCCTGGACAGCCCGGCGGGGCGTCCCAGCTCAAGGTTCTTAGCCCCCTGGAGCCCCAGTTTTCTGATGTGTCGAACAGGAATACTGTCCCCTTTCTGCCTCTTTGCAAGCCCTGAAGCTAGAAAATGGAGGGCAAAGAAGGCCGGGCCTGGTAAAGTGTTCTACTAACTTAAGCAGTTGCTCATCATTAACATAATGCTCTCCTGGCACTTGAGAGAGGCCCTTTGCGGAGGGTCTGGAGGGGGATCCGGGTCCCTCGGCCAGGCTGTGCCCACCAGCCTGATTTCACACGCCCCACTCTTTGTTGTGGAAGCTTCTCCCTCGTCGTACCTGGCTCATTCCGTCCGCTGTCTCTGAACCCTGCACTCTCAGCCCACCTACCCACATCCCCCCCGCAGCCCCCTCCCCAACAGCTGTCAGCCCACCCTGATCACAGACAATGGAGCCCCACCCAGGGCTCTCAAGACCGGACTTCCCTTGCCTTCTCCCAGTCCCAGCTCCCCCTCTCCCCCTGCAGCGGGCCAGCTGATGGGGCCGCCCTGGAGAAGCTGGCACAGGCCCTTCTTTCCTTGTGCAGGTGTCAGTCTCATGGACCCCTGGTCTGTAAAGAGAGCAGAGCCCCCATTGTCCCAAGCAGGTCAGTCTTCCTGTGGGAAGGCTGACGGAGGGTTTCGGCCCCCCTGAGAACAGCAGCCCTGGGGCACCTCTCATTTGTTGAACCCCACGCTAAATCAGAGGGAGGGGTGGGGAATGAGCATTTACTAATCCTCTGTTACGTGCTGGGCACGGTGCCCATGTTCACACTACTTCCCATAACCCACGGAGGGTATTATTATCTCCACTTAACAGAGGAGGTGAAACAGGTTCCGAGATGCTAAGAAACATATCCGTAATCACACCAGACAGAAGGGATGGAACAGGAATACACATCCAGGGCTCCCACCTCTGGGCTGGGGTGAGGGCACACCACAGACAGCAGTCATTTCCTGAGTCTATATATAGCAGGTGACAGGAGCACATGCAAAGGAAAGAGCATACAGCTCCATGGACTTCGGGATTTCTTTATGATCTCACGATAAATACTGGAAGTGAATGGAAAAAGTAAAAACAGTTGCTGTTAGGTAGAGATCTTTAATAGAATATCGTAGTGTTACCTTCTCAGTAGAAAACACCAAAAAATACTCCTTCCTAACAATTTTGTATCCAAAAAGTGAGTGACTGATGTGTGTAAACACTGGCGACTAAGGCTCTTTGACCACTTACTGCGCACAAAGCCTTCTATAGGGATGCTGTCGTTTAATCCACCAACAGCCTATGCAACAGGTAGAACTTTTCCCTGTTTTCAAGATGAGGAAACTGAGGTACAGAAGTGATTTCCCCCAGGTCACTGAGATAGTTAGGAAATTCGAACCCCAAGAGTCTGATATTGGAGCCTGACCCTGACCCTGACCCATTCAACTTAATACTAACAGCTCTGGGACTTCCGGGACAAAGGATGGATGGAGCATGAAGCAATAAAGGTACCAACTATGCGCAAGTGCCAGAGTCAGAAACACACAGTAACCATTGGCTGGAAGGGAGGAAGGGAAAGGATGAGTGGGGGGCAAATGGATGACTTGCTGTGGGGGTGCTGGGGGTGACTACACACCTGGAAGAGTTGAGCTGGCCATCAGCAAGATATTCTGGATCCTTCTAACTGCCACCCTGCAAAGGCAAGATGGGAGTGGCGGGCAGATGCAGACAGCTTCGGAGGACAGAGGCCCTCCCTGGAGGAGCTGCAGCTCAGCCTTCAGTCTGGATGCTGCCCATCGCGCTTCGGGGATGCTGACCACCCAGCACCCCATCACCAGTCTGGTGTTATCTCAAACCAGCCAAGACTGGGCTGAGGGGCCAGACACATGCCTGTCACAGATTAGGCCTGGGGCCAGCAGGAACACCCACGGGAAGGAGCCCCAAGCCCACAAGCACTTGCTGAGCACGGACTCTGGAGGGCAACCAGGTAGGACTGAAGGGACTTCTGGCTCCAGCAGTTACCTTCTAAGAATATCTCGGTGATGACAGTGGTTCCCATTTCCCTGTAGAGGACCATCTCCTGGAGTCCTCCACCTCCAGTTCCAACCAGGCCACCAACGCTCCCGTTCTTTTCCTCCCTCCAGGTCCCCCTTCTTCCTTCTCTCTGCCCCCCACCCCCAAGATCCAGCCCCTGCCTGCCCTCTGCAGCCCCATTTCTCACTGCTGCTGTTTCCCCCTCTGGGTCTCATGAAACCGCACTATTTCCTTTCCTTTTCGAATAGCCCACTTTCTTTCACTTCTTCAGTGCTTTCATCTGCTGTATTTTCTCTGCCTGAGATGTCCTTCCTCTGGCCCCTCTCGAATGTCTAGAGTCCCAGGGGTGTCCACCCTGCGTCCCGCAGCCCACGTGCAGCCCAGGATGGCTGTGAATGCAGCCCAACACAAAACCATAAATTTACTTAAAACATAATGAGATTTATTTTGTGATTTGTGTCACAATGCATTTAATATGTGACCCAAGACAATTCTTCTTCTTCTTCCAGTGTGGCCCAGAGATGCCAAAAGTTTGGATGTTCCTGGGAGACAGACAATACTGCTTACCCTTTAGACGTCTTCCCCAACCATCAGGAAGGTTCAGCCCCTGCCATGTGCTTCTATAGCACATCCTGCTTTGGCCCATGATTTGTATAATCAGTTCGTTGCTTTTCATCTCCATGAGGACATGGACTGTGTCTGTTTTGTTCATTACTCGGCCCCTATTCCCTAGCTTAGCACTGGCACCTACCAGTGGCTCTTCCACCATTTCCAGCTCCTCAGATATAGCACAGTTCAGACTCAGTTTCTTTCAGGGAGGCTGAGCCCTGCAATGCAGAGAATGCAGCGCAGAATTAGTTTAATTAAGGATGTTACCATAAACCTCTGTATGGCTGGAAATCCTTTCCCAGGCCCCCAGAGACCCAGGAGGCCTGATGAGAGGCAGAGATGCCATGTCCACTGCTTTTTTGGTGAAAATACTCATTCTAAGTGTGGGAAGCATTGTAGTCCAGCTCAAGCCATTGCCTAGCTGGCTTCTTGCAGGAAGTCTGGAGGGTGGGGGGGTCAGTGAGGGGGAAATATGTAAGCCACCCAGGCCTCGGCCAGCTGAAAGCAAGCCTCAGCCCAGGAACCCCACACTGTCCTCCACCCACATAGCTCCTCCGCTTCCACCCGCATGGACCGGTGGCACGAACCCAAGTTTGTGTAAACAAGGCCACAGGAAAGCAAGCACCCTTATCTGCTATCAGTTTTCTTTCTCCAGCTCAGCCTCTTGGCTGGACCCTAGGCCAGGAGGGGGGAGCTGGCCAGACTCCTCCCCTTTTCTCCTTTATCTTTTCTCCCCGGCCAATTTCTCCTCCCCCACAGCTTGAGCTCCCTGGGGTCCCTGCTCCGCCAGCTGGAGAAGGGAGGCAGTTCTCTCTTCACAGCCCAAGTCAAGGCCGTGTCTCTGATTGTCTGCACTGGGGAGGCTCCCTCCTCCCTCCTTCCTCCCCTCCCAGCTCCCTCAGGACGGGGTGGCAGATGCGTTTATCTTGTTGGAAGAGATGGGGAGAAGTGGTGGGCAGCAGTCTGGAAACTAGCTGGAGGGTGCGGAGTGCCCATGGGGTAAAGCTCTGGCTTTGGCACGCAGGACAAGAGAGTTGCATTTGGGTCCTCGAAATGTTCAAGCATCCAAATGGAATCAGATGGACAAGAGTTCATTAGGTACAAGGTCTCTTCCTGCTCTAAAATTCTGCACAGCGAACTAGAAGGCTGCGGGGGAAGGCTGTTGGCGGGGGTGAGTCTGACTGTCTGCCTGTCTCTCCCTTGGACTTCTAATTACACAAGCCTGGTACTGACCCAGAAAGAGGGGGTGGCTGGCTAATCCTCTCCAGACTGTCATATTATACCAGAGGCATTCCAGCCTGAAAAAAATCTGTGAGTCTGAGGTATCAGGTTCCATGAAATGAAAATATCTGAGCCACATCCCTAAGAAAATAGATGCTGTACTTCTCAGGCCAACTGAACTGTGAGGGGAGAGGTGAGCTCCTCCCCCTTCATCAACTACAGGCCCTTGTCTTCCCCCCACAGTAGTGGAGGGCGCCCTTGGGGAAGTCAAACAGCGACTCAACTTATGACCCAAACGCAAGACAGACGACGGTACCAGTGGAGCAGAGCACCTGGGATTTACCATAGCACGGTGAGACCTAAACCCTGGCCAGGTCAGGGACCTTTAGGGATTTACATAATCGCTGGACAAAAATAAACCAAAGCCTTAAACACTCAAAGTAGATGACGGGAGGTCTCAGAACTACACTATTGTGGCCCTTCATTTCATGGAGGAGAAAGGGAAATGATAAGTGTATGACCCTACAATGGTCCTGAAAGTGATACTGGAGAAAGCAAGAGCTTGAGAAGCCATCCCTGTGGCTAGACTAGGGATAGGCCAACTACAACCCACCAGCCAAATCCGGCCCACTGCCTGTCTTTGTAAATAAAGTTTTATTGGAACATAGCCAGACTCAGAAGATTTACACACATTGTTTATGGCTGCTTTTGCATTACAACAGACTTGAGTGCTTGCAACAGAGAATATATAGTATGGCCTGGGAAGCCTAAAATATTTAATATCTGCTCTCTACAGAAAAAAAAGTTTCCTGACTCCTGGGATAGACCAAAACAAGCTAGAAACAGCATCACGAAGCAGAAGGTAAAGTCCCAACTCATCTGCTTCCATGGGAGAGCTATGGGTTCTCTGAGTGTGTCTGTCTCCTCACCCAAACATACCAGAGGGTAGAACACAGATACTCCTTGGCTGAGACAGGAATGGTCAAATCGCATCTTAAACCCATTTATAATTCATTCAGCAGCAAATATATGTTGAAGAGCCTGTTCTTGGCCATTAGGATACACCAGCAAACTAGAGTCCTCCACCTCCAGTTCCAACCAGGAGTTGGAACAAAATAGACCAAGAACTGTCCCTTGTGAAGCTTATGTTCTAGGGGCTGGGGTATAACTCCCCCTCAACAGCCGTCCTCAGCCGGATTCTGAGGGCACTACCTCTCACGAGGAGTGAGGACCCCAGTATGACCTAACGCAGAACTGACTTTGGAGACCTCTGTGTGGTAGAGTTTATTATGATTCAGTAGAGGAGGATTTTACTTCCCCCTCCCACAGGAGATTGGGCTTGGCCATATGACTTGCTTTGGCCAATGAAAAGTGAGCAGAAGTGGCGGGTGTCCCTTCCAGACAGAGTTTTAAGGATCAGTGAGCGATTCATCGTGTTAGTCTCTTTTGCTTCAGCTAGGGAAAATCATCAGTGTCCCGTATCAAAAAGCCCCAACATCTCTCCATCAGCCCAAGAGTGAAAACCCCTGAACAGACCAACAGCCAACACACGACAGACATGTGGCACAAACGACAAATAACCTTTGTTATCGTGAGCCTCCGAGATCATGTGGTAGCTGCCACAGCATGGCCACACACACCCTGACTTCGTTTTTGTACATTAGGTGTGTCCTAGTAATAGGACTATGTTTTTTTATTTCCTCACTGACTCGCGGGAAAATACTTCTAGCAGATGACATTAAAGTGTCCCTAGATCGCATGGACCCTCCACCACACTTCCTGTGCAACACAGGCCTTCCCAGATTCTTTATTCTGCTTGATGGTTATACTCACAGCTCCCCATGCCTTCTTTTGCCACTCTTAAAGGACGAGGTCTCGTGGAGCTGGGTTGTCACATCACATTTTTTAATAGATGGAACATCTAACTCGTACTTATATACCCTAACCTAAAAATTCTAGCAGAGTCCACTGGTTATATGAAGCGTAATCCATGTCCTCGTGTGTCAGTCTTATTAGTTCAAAGGCATGTGTATCAAATTCATCTGTGCCTTACGTGTAGCCAGACGTTACCCACACACCGGTGCCCAGTGGACTGCCCTCTTTCTCATCCCGCACTCGAAGTGCGGAGTGTTCCGTGTCAGCCCACTTCCCCCCATTTCTACTTGAGAAGCCGTTTTCCCCCCGCGGCCAGCATTCTTGTTCTTCAGTACAGGCCCCAGTTTTCTTGTCAATGACATTTGTCTTTTGGGCTTCTGCGTACCTTCCTTCTGACTCTGTTACTTTCCCGACCACTCCGGGGCAGGCTGCAAGTGTTGGCTTAGTGTCCAAAGGCTAGAATCCTCAGGTTGGAAAGATTGGTGTGCTTGTGGGGAAATTTGGGGCATTTATCCAGGCCAGGGTTGGGGTTGCCGTCTGTGCCATTTGGCAAGAAGGAGGCTAGGCCTGAGTCAGTGTGGGAGACAGGTACTGACCTTTGCCTCACATGGCTGGCAGACCCGCAGAGCACTGGCAGGGCAAGACGGAAAGCCATGGGTGGACCGAGTCAGCAGGACGGGTGAGGAAAGCAGCAGCAGGGGTTACTGAGATGTCAGCAAGGTCCAGGAGTTCCATTCCCCCTCTTAGCCCAGAGCTTCTCCCCTCTGGGAGACACACGAAGATGGGTTCTACCCTCCTTGCCTTCCAGGGAACCCAGGCAAGCCAGGTGTGGGGACACATCTCTGGGGAGGAGAAGGGGGCAGAATTAAGGGATAGTAAAGGGGCTGCTGGAAGAAGCATGCTTCCAGAGCCTTACCCCCTCCCACCACCCTGCTACAAACCTGCCTACCACAGCAGAGCCTGATAAAAGTCTTTGGTCCCAGAAGCAGGGAGGGGAGAGATGAGAGGGTCAAGGTTAAGCCCTCCTGAGAATATATGGGGTGGAGGCAGCTGAAATTCCTCAATCCTCACCCAGCTCATGAGCTAATACATGAGAAAGCCCTTTGTAAACCACGAACCACACAAACATAGAGGATTGTCCTGGTTGATCATTCCTCACTCCCTGTCAACCCCAAAACTCGATTTCTCCTGAGGGACGCAGGACCTGGCCACATCCCCAGTAAACCCTGGGGTTGGTCTGTGGCATTTCGAATGCCTCGTCTCCCCCATGCCCCTGCCAGCCAGGGTGCTCGTCCTTTGGTTCTGCCCACTCAAGTCCCCATCTCTTTCAAAGCCGCAACTCCTTCAATGCTTCCCCCACACCCCCTCCCATCCAGCAGAGGCCTGCCTGGTCTGATCCACGTGGGGGACTTCGAGATGGTTGTTCCTTGTCCCAGCACCTCTCTCTCTACCTGTCTTTTCTCCCCAGGCCTCTGCGTTCTCTGGCTGTTCGCAGTTCTGAGCCCCACTGCCCTGCACCACTGTGGAGCCCCTTTCCTTAAGTAACACCCCAAACTCCAGGCCTTTCACAGCTCTTCCAAACCTACCAGTCCTGGGACTCATTCTCCCTGCTCAGCTCTGAGTAGCAGGCCCGTAACTGTAATAAAGCCTCAGGAGATGCTTAATAAGTGGCCAGGGCTGTGGCATGTGGATACCAGTGGAATGTGGTCCCTGGACCTTCAAGGGAGTTCAAGAAACACGTACCTGGAGAAAGCTATGGTTCAAGGATGACGAGGCTTTGAGTGGTGCTTGGTGTTCTGTGTGCCCCGGAGCTCTGGGAGCTGCAAAGTGGAGCCCAGATCTTCATGGAGGATGCATTTCATCTGGGCAGGGAGGGAAGGGTAGGCCCTGCTGCCCTGACACATTCCAGAGAGATGAAACTCTATCCTGTTTGTGGAAGGTCTCCAGGGCCAGCACTCTCACTGCAGCCCAACAACCCAACAGGCCGGTTCCCACTGGTCCCCCTCACACACGGCTCTTCACTGCGGCCTGAGCCCCTGTTTGTCCCCAGGAGATGGAGAACAGCTGGTCACCAGCCTCAGTGCAATGACCCTCAGTGGCCCAGATTAGACAGGCGGTCGAGGAGCACTGATGTCGCTGAGAGCCGAGAAAATCAGCCCAGAGGGGCCTTTCGGGAAAGGACCGAGCGAATGGCCCGGGCCAGTCATCCGATATCAGCCTCTGGTCTCTGTGAGTGACGGACGCTTTAATGAAGCACCACAGCAGCACAGGGGCGGGAGGTGCTAGGGATTCTGCTGGAGCGAGGACCTGAATGCTCTGGGTTAGCAAGGATGGCCAGCAGTGAAAACATGGCCAGGTTGTGGGGGGAGGCGGCCCCACAGTCCCAGAACCCAGGGAGTTTAAGCTCCCAGACAGAGGAGGCTATGAAGGGAGTGTGGTTCTGTCGTGGCTGGTGGCCAACGTGACCCACCCAACGTGACCAATAGCCCAGCTGATGTAGGCAAAGGAGTGGGGAGGGTGCCGCTGGGAGGGCTGAACCGCAAAGGGAGACACACCAGCCTGGCCTTGGGGGCTGCTCATCACCCCAGGGCCGGGCTTCCTGAGAGAAACGCAGAAAAAGCCAGGTGGAAATGGATGTCACCCTCCTGTCCTTTGCCCAACCCCTCCACTCCGGCCTGCCACAGCCACCAAAACCGCCAACATTTACTGAGCACTTACCACTCACTCCTCATCATGCAGACCTTCCCCCATCTCATCTGACCACCCCCCAACACACAGCAATTCTGTAAAATGGGTTGGGTGTGTGGCCCCCACCCCAGAGAGGAGCAGCACACCTCAGGAGGTTTGGTGGTTTTCCCAGAGTCATGCCACAAGAAGTGTCCCAGAAGCCCTCACGTGGCTCCCTGCTCCAGGGTCCCCTGACTCAATCCACAGGACCCAAGCAGCGTAGACACAGCCCTGCTGCGGGGTCTAGAGGAAGACCAGCTAGGACAGCAGGAGGCAGGCGGGACCCAGGCTCCTCTGCCCCTCCTCCTTGCTAAAATAAGATGGAGAAGAACTCAGGCCTTTCCAGAAGCCCCTGAGCTGGGCTCCCCTTCCAGTCTGAACAAAGTGCCTCCCTGTTGCTCAGTCAAGTACCATCCTCCTCGCTCTTGTGCCTTGGTCTCTAAGGCTTCTATTTGTTGTATTGTCATTGAACTTGTCATGCCTATTGGTTTTATTTCTGAGGAAAAAGGGCTGAATTGTGCTCACAGCTGTATCCCCCATAATGCCCACAGGCGTATAGCAGGTCTCAGCAATGACTTGCTCAGGGAAAGTTAGGAGCTGTCTCACGGTCCCTGCTCTTTCCCCCCACCATGATCACACCACCTTCTCTCTTGGTTTGTTTCCCCGCCTCTGCACAAAGAGCCCTGGACTCAGGTCCACCCCTGGTGGACGGTGGACTCTCTTGCTGAGCACGGTGCCCGTCATACAGCTGCCGTGGGTTTGCCTTCACTTAATACGTGTTCCATTTCTTCCACCATTTACGTCTCATATGCTTTACAGACATTTCTTTGATTTTGAAACCATTACTCCATAGGAGTTCATAAAGTGGATATTCTCCCATTTTTCAGGTGGAAAAAGCTGAGGCCTGGATAAGTTAACTGAGCACACCCAGCTTGTAAGAGGCAGAGGCAAGATTCAAACCCAGGGTTAGCTGGTGCCCAAGGCCAAGCGCCCTCCTGCAGGCCCACTGTCTCCTCAGCCTTGAAGCAATAGCCTCTCTTGTCTAACCCTTCAGGACCTGTGGGCTACAAAACACATCACCCCAGTGGGGAGCCTGTTTCTTCTGAGACGCAGGGAGAGGTCACAGGCTGCTCAGGCCTGGAGCTCTCCATCACCAGAATCGGGAGCATGGGAAGCGGGTGTTTTTCTTCCTTGCGGCCTTAGTGCCTGATTCCTATGGTGTATCCGCCCTGGAGAATGACCGGAAGAAGTGGCTTCCGCCTGGCAGGGGGAGGAGCTGGCTTCTTCCCGCCCTTCAGAGAGGAGGGTTTTGCTCCAAAGCAACAGCTGCATGGGCCTTGCTGGGAGCACAAGAGGGCTTGGGTGCAGGGTCTGGATTCTGCCCCCTGCCTATTCAGGGCCTGGCCAGCTTTGGACCCCACTAACTGAAAAGTTTAAGGAGCTCCAAGCTTTCTGACAGTCGACCTGGGAGCTGCCAGGAAAATGAAACCGAGGTCCAGGACATTTCCTGGGTGGACCCCCGCGGCCCCCCTGTCAATGAAGAGTTGCTGCGCATGTCCCAGGTACAGGGGATTCGCAGAAGGGCTCCAGCTTGGCCACCTACCAGCTGTGTGAACTTAGGCAAGGCATTTCATTGTGCTGAGGCTATTTTCCCATCTGAAAATGGGAGAAAAACAATACTTATCTCACTGGGTTGCTGGAACATTAATCAGGAAATATAGGCAAGTGACTTAGCATGATGCTTGGCACATAATGAGCAAACGTTCGAAAGCAAGTGAGAGCGCCCTGGCCAGATGGCTGAGTTGGAACATCATCCTGTCCCTGTACACCGAAAGGGTGTGACCCCAGTGGAGAGTGGGGGGGCGGCGTGTAGGGAGCAGGCAAATAGTCCTGGAGGAAACCAATCAATGTTTCTCTCTCATACTCTCTCACTCCTCCACTGCCCTTCTTCTCTCTCTAAAATCACCAAACATATCCTCAGGTGAAGATTAAATAAAATTTAAAAAGCATGAGAGCTACCACAGGCGCTACCATCAGGGTCAATTTTCTTTTCCGTAAGTTGCTCCCAATTTACTGACAAGAAAACTGACACAGACAGTAGGAGTGGAGCCAGGCTTGAGCCTGGAGAGCCTGGTTTCAAACCCTCCATGCCTCACAGGATGCCCCCGCCCCTCTGCAGACATCACAGCATGAAGTCACAGGGCCAGCGAGGGGCAAAGCCAGAATTCCACCCTGATCCCGGGGAATCAGATTTAGGAAGTGATGAGCTGGGGATATTTATTACATTTGCTTTTAATTTATTTAATTATGAGTTTTGCATAATTTACTGTTGAATAATGGCTGTGTGTAATAACTGACTCGATAACACCCATGACCAATTCTCAGGTTCATGGTAAAACGGAAGGAGATAACGTCAGCATCACCCATCTGTGTACTGGAACCAGCCGTGGGGCCTCGGGCATGTTCTCATCCACCGCGGGCTTCACATTCTCCCCATCTGTAAAACGAGGCTGTCGTGAGGACTACAGGAGAATATGCATTTAAAGAGTCTAGCCAGGCCAGGACCAACATGAAGTAAGCAAGGAGACTGCGGAGCAAAAATCCCACCAGGGACCCTCTCTCAGGGTGACAAGCTGTGCATGGCTGACACTGGGGCGCCTCCTTGAATGTTGTGTTAGGTGCCTTACTTGCTGCACCCTAGTCCCAGCCCTGCTCCTGGCATGCAGTAGGTACTTGCTGTTATTACTACAAGACCTTCAAGGAGGGTATAACCTAGCAGAGTCAACAAGAAAAGCCATCTAACAATACACAAGAGAAACAATGGCTCAGGACATGGTCCAGGGGCATATGATAGATACCCAGTGAGCCTAGCAGATAATGAGGGTTCTATTTCAGCAAACCCCCACAGCCTGCCCCTGAGGCTGAGCCGTCTCCAGGGGACCCAGGGTTGTCTGGAAACAGTTGCAAGCAAGATTTCTTTGCATTGTCCTAACTGGTGTGGCTCAGTTGGTTGGGCTTCATCCGGCAAAGAGAAAGGTTGCTGGTTCAATTCCCAGTCAGGGCACATGCCTGAGTTGTGAGTCCGGTCCCCGGGGGGGCACATACAAGAGACAATCAATGGATGTTTCTCTCTCACATCAATGTTTCTCTCCCTCTCTTTCTCCCTCCCTCCTCCTCCCTCTAAAAATAAATAAAATCTTTTTAAAAATATATTTTCTTTCCATTAAATTGAAAGAAAAAACACCAGTCTTCAAAGTATACCTTCTCCTGTATAGTAGGTAGCTATATATTACAGTATTTTTCTCCCACAAAATCTTTTCCAATAAAATTGATACGGGGTTGGGGGTGGGGGAAGATGGGCCTGTTGACCGGTGACTTCCCAAGTTCCCTGACACCCCAGCGTGCACCAACCGCCCGGAGGTGGTGATGGGGGCCGGAAACGGCGCTGAGGCTCCAGCCATAGCCTGTCGGGGGAGCACCATGAGGAACGGAGGCGGTGACAAGTTTCCCCTCGTTGAAGAGCGGAGGGAAGGGGAATCGGGGTTGGTGTTAGGGTTCCGACTAATCAATCCCGAGAAGGAACCAATAGGATCCAAAGAGAAAGAGACTTGCTGTGAGGGACTGGCTCCCGCAACTACGGAGGCTGAGAAGCCCCACAATCTGCCATCGCAAACATGGGGCCCACGAAAGCCAGCGCTGTAGTTCAGTCCAAACCTGCAGGCCCGAGAGACAGCGAAGCCCCAGTCCCCATCCAGGTCTAAAGGTCCAGACCTGGGGTGGGGGTGGGAGAAATGGGGGGGACGAGCGGGGCAGACAATGGTAAATTCCATCTCGAGTCTGAAGACCTGAGAGCCAGGAGCACCCATATCCGAGGGCAGGAGAAGATGGATATTCCAGCTCAAATAAAGACCAGACTCACCTTCTCCGCCTGTTTGTTTTATCCAGGCCCTCAGTGAGTTTGGGTGATGCCCACCTGCCCTAGTGAGAGCCATCTTCCTTCCTCAGTCTGCCGATGCGAATGCTCGTCTCTTCCGGAAACAGCCTCGCAGACACACCCGGAAGTGAATGTTTCCATACGTGTGGGTTTTTTACCAGCTCTCTGCGCAGCCCTTAGCCCAGTCAAATTGACACATAAAATTTACCATCACAGGGTTGATGCCTTAAAAAAAAAGTGGCTGGGAAAATTCCTCGAGTGTATGATATTTTGTAGGAAGACAACGGGCAAATCTCTAAATCATTTCAATGTAATATTTGAGTGAATTTCAGGTTTTAAAAAAACGAGAGAGAATTGGGTTTGGGACTAAAAAGACTTGGTTTCCCCCCTTTACTGCCTCTGTAACCTTGGGCAAATCATTGGACCTCTAGGAGCCCCACTTCTTCATCTATAAAATGGGTACTGTGGTGAGGAGCAAAGGCAATAAGAGCACTTCAAGGCAAAGCGCTTCTATACAAATGTTCACAACAGCTATGGGATGGTTGAGCATCTGGCGATCCCCAGTCAATGGCACCAAGAACCAGAAAGAAGGTCCCTTTGGCTTCCAAGGTGTACAGTGAGCACTGCAGGTGAGGGCCACTCATTCACACAGATCTGTCCTGACCCGGGAACATTGGAAATCTGCATGCTTAGTTCACACCCAGCTGGTCCCATGTAGAGATACTGCAAAAATGTTTCTGCTGCCTGGGTTGGAAAAAGGAACTTGCACTGAGATCGCTGCAGACATGATGACTTTTTCTTATTCTTTTTCTTTTTTTTTTAAGATTTATTTATTTAGCCCTGGCTGGTGTGGCTCAGCGGATTGCGTGACCGCCTGAGAACAAAAAGTGTAGCTGGTTTGATTCCCAGTCCCGTCACAGGCTTGCACTGTGCGCCAGTTCCCCAGTGGGGGGCGCGCGAGAGGCAACCATACATTGATATTTCTCTCCCTTTCTTCCTCCCTTCTCCTCTCCAAAAATAAATAAAATCATCGACGTTTCGCTCCTTCTCTTTCTGCCGGGGAGGGAGAAAGAGGGGGAGAAAGAGGGGGAAAAAGAAGAGGGAGAAAAACGTCGATGTGCGATATGCGAGAGAAACACCGATCCTCTGAGTCTCGCACGCCCCCCGCTGGGGGCCTGACTCGCGATCCAGGAAAATAGAACAGGTGAGCTTTCGGTTTGCAGGATGACACCCAAACCGCTGAGCCACACCAGTCAGGGCACACGCAGACTTGATGTCTCAATATCAAAGGTGTTCTCCATCTTTCGGCAAGCCCACGCCTTCAGGAAACAACGATGGGCCGGAGACTTGCAGCCTTTCTTCAGGCAGAAATCTAGCACCTGCGTGTGGGAGGACCACCTCCCTCTGAAGGGTCGACCTGGTGTCTCGCTCGCTCGTCTCTGCCAGGTCGGGCTCTGTAGCCCCAGACCTTGGGGAACACTTGGATTTTCGCGACAAGCCTGGCGCAACATCCCTCCAAGTCAGCCCTTCTCTCAGACAGTTACCCCTTAGTTTTCCAACTGGCTTCTCAAAGGGCAAATCTGTTATCTCCTGAAATTCTATGAAAAAACAACAAGTAATAAACTGTGACATGCTTTCAAAAACAGTTACCCAATTTTCTTTACAATTCTTGGTGGGGCCAGCATCAGGCAAACTACTGAAGGAGACCCAGTTTCTCCCTTCTGTAACCTCGCCCCTTCTTTCTGAATGCCCCCCACCATACAAGTTAGGGTTCTTAGCTCCAAATAACAGACAAAAAGTCTGACTGATTTAGCCATGGCCAGGTGGGCCAGTGGATTAGAGCATTCTCCCCATACATTGAAGATGCAGGTTCGATTCCTGATCAAGGCACATACAAGAATCAACCGATGAGTGCATAAATAAGTGGAACGATGAATCAGTGTTTCTCTCTGTCTCCCTTACTCTCTCTCTCTAAATCAATCAATTAAAAAATTATTTTAAAAAAAAAGACTTGTTTCTAAAAGAAAAAAAGTATGGTTCAAGCAAAACAGAAATTCATCTGAAAGAATATTGCACACTTCACGGAATCTCTGGGAGGGCTAGACAACCCAGCTAAGCTTGACCCAAAGTACCCGCCCACCAAACTGGGAGCCAAACAAATGGCTGTTATTTTAAACTACTAGGTTTTGGGGAGGTCTCTGATGTAGCAAAAGCTCACTGCTACGGGACATGGTGCTTGGCCTATATGGACAAAGGGGGACTCCAGATGCAGTTGGTTCCCCACCCATGTCCCCTTGCCCCCATCAATTCAGTGCATGCCTGTCCAATTGCCAGTTGCCAGCACCTGTGTCTCTGCCTGGGGCCTCTCTCTGGCCACCAGTGCCCACTTGCTCACCCTCACAGCAGCCCAGAAGTACGAAGTGGTCCTCCAACCATGACTGAGGGTGTGGTGTGTGAATATCCTAGCTCTCTCGCCCGTTGGGTGTGCTGTCTCTGAGTTGTGTGACCTTTACTGGCTCCAGACAGTCCCAGCAGAATCAAGGGGTATCAAACCCTTTATGGCTGCCTCCCTTTCTCTGACCCATCTCCCCCACTCTCCTATCCGTGTTTCCTGGGGTCACCTCTCAGGTGATTTACTTGCACTCAAACCAGGTTCCAGCTCCAGGGTTCCTGAACCCTCAGCTCCAGGTTCACTTCTAAGCAGCTAAGACCTGTGGGCACTGAGATGGGGGTTCCACACAGAACCGGAGCTGCCGTCAGCCCCACACCGGCGTGTCCCATGCCCCACTCCAGTCGGGAGTCAGCCGCATCAATACTACCCACAATCCTACCCCAACCTCCCCAAGAGCAGACACCCGAGGATGGTGTCTGCTCACGGGGCTTCAGTGGCTTGAAGAACTACTTCTCCATCTCTGAATTTGTCAACTGTTGTTGCCTTTTCCTTCGCTCTCCAAAGTACCAAGTGCCTCATCTTATGGTCTGGGGTATGACGGTGGGTGGAGGAGGAAAAACTTAGAGAAGAGGGAGAGCCAGACTTGGAAGAGAGAGGTGTTGAGCCAGCTGGCCTGTCCCTGCCAGTTCCTCTTACCTGCCCAGATCTGGCAAAAGGCCTGACCTGAGCCCCGGGCAGAATGTGGTACTCAGAGGGTCAAGTTCAGCAAACACAGCCTTGGGTCACGAGGGCTCAGGGGATGTCTGCCCAGCACACATATTCAAAGATGTTTACTGAGTGTCTGTTAGATGCTCTGTTATTGTCTGTTATTGTCGTGTTTCCCACTACCCCCCTGGCACCGGGCCCTGCAGAAAAGTACATGAATGAGGCTGGTGGGCTAAGTTCCTTCAACATAACTACCCTTTATTTGCATTTTCTTCACTTCTACGAAGAAATAGGCTTTTCATGATTGCTTTAAAACACGCACACGGCCCTCTTGACCTTTTATTTTTCTTATTCATGATAGAGCTATGAGTATAGAGAAATATGTCTCTATCATTGTTTCAGCAGTTCTGGGGACTTGTAGGGAGTGGTGGGGACTGGGGCGGGCTGGAGTGCGCAACCATGTCTTAACAGTCACTGACACAACTTCGACCAACCCCACGACTGATGCCTTGATGGATGCTAGGGAGGATATGAGTCTTACGTGGCCAGATATCCCAATGTTCCAAGAGATACCAGAAAAAAATGGATTATTATAATACATCTCTTGATGTGTTAAGTGTTGGCTCAGAATATTTACAAATAGTGGGTAGAACACAGTGCATTGTTATGGGTCCCTGGGCAGTGACCTTGCGATCTCCGCTGTTGCAGTCTGAGCTGTTCGTGACACAGAGCCGCCACACTACACAGCTCCAGTGGGCACCATTCACACTCAATCCCTCCCCCCCTAGAGCCAGGCCAATGGTGCTTCAAGCAAGCCCCTCTCCATACAGACGCTGGCCCTCCAGTCTCTCCCTCCTCTGTCTTGTTGGCACCAACTGTACCACCCAATTAGCCAAGTACCACAAGCAACTAACCTCTAATTATCTCCAGATAGTCTTTTATTGTATCAGCATACAAAGCTACCAAAGTACAAAATCCAGTCTCGTTAATGGGTGGTTTCCTTAGTGTATGTCTTGTCT